AGCAGGGCGCCGCTAGACCAGTGGCTGAGGCCGCATCAACTCTGGCGCCCTGCGCCGCACGCAAGCGATGCACCCGCGAGCCTCCTTGCGGCCCGGAGCACGGGCGCTCCCGCCCACGCCCTCCAGATCGATGCCCTGCTCCACGATGCCCTCCACCACACTGCCATGGTGCCACGCCCTCCTGCACGCTGCGACGAGCTCGCCTGCACGGGATACGCCACACTTCTACGCGCCATCACCGCGCAGTCCATCCTCCGGGCCGCTCAGGCAGCCATGGCCTACAGAAACGGAAGAAGGGCCCCATCGTCGCCTTCCTTGGAGGCGACGCGGGCTTCGTCGGCCGCTCCTCCGGCGACGGCGAGACGAAGGGCAGGGAGATAGGGTGGCGGCGCGCGTGGTCTAGGGTTTCCCCTGTGCCGCCAGGGAGGGCGGCGGTAAAGCGGGAGATGGGGCGGCGGCGGTGGAGCGGGAGATGGGGGAAAGAGAGAGGTCGCAGCGGGAGGGGTGGATCCAGAGGAGAGGCGGTTTTTTTACGTAGGGGTGAGGGGGGGGGCCTGGCGAAAAAAACCAACTAAAAAAACGGACGAAAATGGTGGGACGAAAAAAACCCTGGAAGCGAGACTACCAACTGCTCCATTTTGAACTTCACCAGATCAAAACAATAAAAACATAGGTGCGTCACACACCTATTGCCATCCAATAGATTTTCCCGTGTTTGCGCGTTCTGTGCGTTACATGTGTGCGCTCATCTAGCTAAAGATTAACTAATCAAGCTAACTTTCTGTATTAGCGCATCTGGCCAAAATCAATTAGTGAATCTATGTTGTTTCACGTGAGTGTACGGGAAGAAGTAATCAGCAAGAAGGCGTGCTATCTGGCTGTGCAAACAAAGATAACAAAACTACTTAGCTTCATCGGTCTGCAGCTTGCCGATTCCTTTCCAGCCGGATGGGCATGTCTTGCTGCTGCGCAATACAAAGCAAGCAAGCTGGATCGAATCAGGTTTTCAGTGAATCACAGGGGGAGGCACGGGGCAGTGGAAGGTGAGGACTGCAACATTGATACCTTCAGCAAGGAAACGGCCTGCTGCCGCGGCCATCGACAACTCCGGCCATGCCGGAGTTCAGCTTTCGCCGGCAACCTCAACCATCCAACCAGTGGACCCGAGTAGCCCACCTCGCCAAGCATCACCGTGTAAGACCAGCGCACCTACAGCCCCTCCAACCACCGACCAGTGGCGGAGAAACGGCCACTTCGCGCTGCCATGCCCAGATCCGCGCCAGCCCTCACGTGCAGCCGCACGCCCCGCACCAGCTGCCCAAGAACGCCCGCCCTCTGGAGGCCAGCAGCGCCATCAGCAGGGACGCCCACCTCCACAGCCAGGCCAGATCTGGCCGGCCCGCCTGCCCACTCAAGCAGCAGGGTGCCGCTAGACCAGTGGCTGAGGCCGCATCAACTCTGGCGCCCTGCGCCGCACGCAGGCGATGCACCTGCGAGCCTCCTTGCGGCCCGGAGCACGGGCGCTCCTGCCCACGCCCTCCAGATCGATGCCCTGCTCCACGACGCCCTCCACCACACTGCCATGGTGCCACGCCCTCCTGCACGCTGCGACGAGCTCGCCTGCACGGGATACGCCACACTTCTACGCGCCATCACCGCGCAGTCCATCCTCCGGGCCACTCAAGCAGCCATGGCCTACGGAAACGGAAGAAGGGCCCCATCGGCGCCTTCCTTGGAGGCGACGCGGGCTTCGTCGGCCGCTCCTCCGGCGACGGCGAGACGAAGGGCAGGGAGATAGGGTGGCGGCGCGCGTGGTCTAGGGTTTCCCCTGTGCCGCCAGGGAGGGCGGCGGTGAAGCGGGAGATGGGGCGGCGGCGGTGGAGCGGGAGATGGGGGAAAGAGAGAGGTCGCAGCGGGAGGGGTGGATCCAGAGGAGAGGCGGTTTTTTACGTAGGGGTGAGGGGGGGCCTGGCGAAAAAAACCAACTAAAAAAACCGGACGAAAATGGTGGGACGAAAAAAAACCTGGAAGCGAGACTACCAACTGCTCCATTTTGAACTTCACCAGATCAAAACAATAAAAACATAGGTGCGTCACACACCTATTGCCATCCAATAGATTTTCCCGTGTTTGCGCGTTCTGTGCGTTACATGTGTGCGCTCATCTAGCTAAAGATTAACTAATCAAGCTAACTTTCTGTATTAGCGCATCTGGCCAAAATCAATTAGTGAATCTATGTTGTTTCACGTGAGTGTACGGGAAGAAGTAATCAGCAAGAATGCGTGCTATCTGGCTGTGCAAACAAAGATAACAAAACTACTTAGCTTCATCGGTCTGCAGCTTGCCGATTCCTTTCCAGCCGGATGGGCATGTCTGGCTGCTGCGCAATACAAAGCAAGCAAGCTGGATCGAATCAGGTTTTCAGTGAATCACAGGGGGAGGCACGGGGCAGTGGAAGGTGAGGACTGCAACATTGATACCTTCAGCAAGGAAACGGCCTGCCGCCGCGGCCATCGACAACTCCGGCCATGCCGGAGTTCAGCTTTCGCCGGCAACCTCAACCATCCAACCAGTGGACCCGAGTAGCCCACCTCGCCAAGCATCACCGTGTAAGACCAGCGCACCTACAGCCCCTCCAACCACCGACCAGTGGCGGAGAAACGGCCACTTCGCGCTGCCATGCCCAGATCCGCGCCAGCCCTCACGTGCAGCCGCACGCCCCGCACCAGCTGCCCAAGAACGCCCGCCCTCTGGAGGCCAGCAGCGCCATCAGCAGGGACGCCCACCTCCACAGCCAGGCCAGATCTGGCCGGCCCGCTTGCCCACTCAAGCAGCAGGGCGCCGCTAGACCAGTGGCTGAGGCCGCATCAACTCTGGCGCCCTGCGCCGCACGCAGGCGATGCACCCGCGAGCCTCCTTGCGGCCCGGAGCACGGGCGCTCCCGCCCACGCCCTCCAGATCGATGCCCTGCTCCACGACGCCCTCCACCACACTGCCATGGTGCCACGCCCTCCTGCACGCTGCGACGAGCTCGCCTGCACGGGATACGCCACACTTCTACGCGCCATCACCGCGCAGTCCATCCTCCGGGCCGCTCAGGCAGCCATGGCCTACGGAAACGGAAGAAGGGCCCCATCGTCGCCTTCCTTGGAGGCGACGCGGGCTTCGTCGGCCGCTCCTCCGGCGACGGCGAGACGAAGGGCAGGAAGATAGGGTGGCGGCGCGCGTGGTCTAGGGTTTCCCCTGTGCCGCCAGGGAGGGCGGCGGTGAAGCGGGAGATGGGGCGGCGGCGGTGGAGCGGGAGATGGGGGAAAGAGAGAGGTCGCAGCGGGAGGGGTGGATCCAGAGGAGAGGCGGTTTTTTTACGTAGGGGTGAGGGGGGGGCCTGGCGAAAAAAATCAACTAAAAAAACCGGACGAAAATGGTGGGACGAAAAAAAACCTGAAAGTGAGACTACCAACTGCTTCATTAGGAGTAGAGATATTGGTGCTTTCGGTACTATTGCATTTATTTACAACTATTTAAATATGAGCGGCGCTACACTTTCGTCGGGTGATAAATTGATTCGATCAGACGTCTTAACAACCGTTGCATGCCGCCCGAAATAGAGGTCTAATCTGTCTCACCAGCAGACCTTTGCAACAACTATCTTGTTGCGTTAAGAGGTTTTGCAAAAATGACCTTGTTACGAAGGTCCACCATTACAACATCTAGCTAGCCGAGACATGCCGGCTAGATGATAGTTGTTGCGCCGCCACTACACCATGGCCCGAGCGGACATGGAGCGCCGCCGATCGTCGTTGGTCCCGCACGACGACGACGACTTGTCACAACGGGCGCTTCTTTGACGTTTTCTGCAACATGGGCTATGTTTCTGAAATGTCTTATGTTGCAACGCATGGTCAGGGCTACGTTTTCAAAACAAGGCACATGTTGTGGAGAAAAACTTCACGATAAACCATTTTTTATTTCGAAAAAAAGAAAATCTTGTCATAGAAATCTTATGAAACAAGACCCATGTTGCAAAAGGAAAAAAAAGGTTATGCAGGACTTATGACCAGCATGAGCGCTCGATCAGGATTGATGCGATAGCTACGCAAACGACGACTGAAGCGCATGCATCAGCCGTCTGAACGGTAATGTTTCCTTCAAATACATGATCAAATTACTACTTCCTCCATTCCAAAATATAATGTGCTCGTGTTTACCGAGGTCAAACTTTGACCGTAAATTTAACCAATGAGACCAACTGCGGCGGAAGAAAAAATTATATAATTGAAAACTTCTTTCAAATACGAATTCACTGATATAATTTTTGCTCCTGCCGCAATCGGTTTTGATAATTAAATTTACGTCAAAGTTGAAGCAAATAGATAGAGGAAACATTATATTGTGAAATGGAGAGAGTATTAATTTAGATAATAAAAAAGAAGATCAGACCAAAGATGCCACAGATCGATGATGTCTAATCCGCGTGGGAGATGCCCATGCCCTGGGCTCGCCTGACCCTGCGCAAATAGGCCACGCGTCGTCTGAGAGCTTTCCTGCTGCGCCGCGCACCGTCCGTGAGCGCACGAGTCACGATAACCCCCGAGCCGCACCGCTCCCGCGCACGCATCCAAACCAATCAGACGCGCGGCGCGGGGCCCGGCTGCAAATTTTTTACCCGTGACTTGACCCGACGCTGCGCCGCACCGCCACCCGGCGACCTGCGCCTGCCGACCCATTGGGCCGCGCGCCGCACTACCATACCCATACCGGAGACCCAAGGTTTCGTACCGGAGAAGACCCCCTCCTTCCCCTCCCCACAAAACAAAACGACCGCCCCTACCCCCTTCTCCCGCCCTCGCCCCTCTCCCTCTCCCCTCCCCTCCTTCCCCGGCAAGACTAGGGTTTTCAGCCACCGGTCCGCCCTCACCATGTATAACGGGGGCGACCACTACGACGGGAACGGCGGCGGCGCCGCCAACGCCAACAGCCTCTTCAGCGGCGGCGGGTTCATGCCCTCGCAGACCACCAACACCCCGGAGGGCAGCGGCGGCGGCATCACCAAGGTACGTCTTCCTAGTACCCCCGCCCAATCTCCCCTTGTTTTGTTTCCGGCCCCCAAATCTGATGACGCCCTTCCCTCCCGCCCAGACTCGCGGCGCGCAGACGCTGCTCCCGCTCACCGTCAAGCAGATTATGGACGCGTCCCAGACCAACGACGACAAGTCCAGTTTCGTTGTCAATGGCACCGAGGTGTCCACGGTACGAATCCTGCCTCTTAGCCGGGTGCTTTTTAGTATTTTTTTTTGAACACCTCTTCACCCGGTGCTTAATGACATTGTAAATAATCGATTCTCCTTTTTGGGGAAAACAATCGTTTCTTTTGTTTGAGCACTGATTCGACTTGTTTTGTATGCTTACTGTGAAAGGTTTCACATTGTAGTTGGCAGAGCGGATTATAGTCGGACCAACATCTTCCTGGGAAAAAAAGAACCTTCCTCCGGACTGAAACATGTCCGTTCTTAAATTATTATTACTCCCTCCGATCCATATTTGTACTCGTAGGGAGTACTATATATATAAGAGGAAACGAATCTCCTCTCGTAATTTTATTTAGCCAAGCGGATTTGAAATTTGAACATATAACACTGGCCAGGTGTATTGGTTCAACTATGCAATAGGGAAAGAAACAGTACCTTGGTTAGCGTCCATATTGCATTTGCTGAAGTTCTGTAATTTCTGTTCCTCTCCTAACCACACCCACCATCTGTACTGGGGGCCTAAATGGCCTACACCAATGGGACTGCTTGCTACCAGCGTTCCCAGAGTCATGAGTTGATGTCCGTTTGATGGAAGGGATGCCGGAGGCTCTTGCGGCCTCCCTTCCACTTGTCACATATACTCCCTCTGTTCACTATTATAATATGTTTTCGGTATTTCAAGATGGACTACATACTCAATGTAATGAGTGAACAAACACACTAAGGCCTCTTTTGGTTCATAGGATAGGATTATCATAGGAATAGGAATCTTGTAGGAAATGAGATGACATGTATCTCAAATCCTAAGAGTAGGAATAGGAAACAAGATGTCATTTGGTTGACACCAAAGGAATTTTTCCATTGAGTCTAGGCTCTTTTTTATTTTCCTATGAAATGTGGAGGATAGGAACCAATCCTATGTAGGAATAGGAATCCATTCCTATGAACCAAAGGGCTCTAAAGGAAAAAATCCTATAAGAATCCTATCCTCTAGAATTCCTATGAAATTCCTCTAAACCAAAGGAGGCCTAAACCGTGTCTACATACTCCCTCCGATTTTATTTACTCTGCATATTAGGTTTGACTGAAGTCAAACTTTGTAAAGTTTGACCAAGTTTATAGAAAAATATATAAAGATTTACCATAACAAATCTATATGATGTGAAAGTACATTCAATAACGAATCTAATTGTATTGATTTGTTATTGTATATGTTAATATTTTTGTTTATAAACTTTGTCAAAGTTTGCAAAGCTTGACTTTGACCAAAGCTAATATGCGGACTAAATAAAAACAGAGGGAGTACATCTAATTTAGAAAAAAAGTTAGAACATCTTATAATAGTAAACGGAGGGAGTACTTCCTAAGCATACACATGGCTAGTGAGCCACTGAGGCATCCCGGTTAACCATACACATGTCCCAAATTGCTAGTAAAACACTCCTGATTCAGCCAGTTAATCAGGTTGGGGCTGGCTGCAGTGCAAGTGCAAGGATTGTGCAGTCATGTACTGACGTGAAGGTATTCCGAACCTTGTGGTTTTGTGAAATGGACGCAGTTTAGAGGGCTCAATGGCAACTGACCTTTGGCTGTCTGTGTAGTGTGGTTTTGAAATGGTTTTTCTTTGAACACTTTGCTTCCTATCGAGATCGACAGAGATCAGCTCGCTGTTTATCTAATTGTTTTATTGCCCTGGATTGCAGGTTAGGCTTGTAGGACGCATGATGAATAAGGCAGAGCGGATCACAGATGTACGATTCATTCTTGATGATGGTACAGGCAGGATAGAAGTGAATCGCTGGTGAGATGTTATGTATTGATTTGGTTTGTCTACAGTCGACCAAATTTTGGAGTGTCACCCATATACGCTGTCCCTTATTTTATTTTTCCAGGGCAAATGAGACATCGGACAATACAGAAATGGGTTTAGTCAAGTAAGGACTAAAACTAATTGTCATATGATGGGAAATTGATTTCCCATGCAATAAACTTTACATCTTCATCTTCTTTTGTTTACAAGGGATGGTGACTATGTTATTGTCAATGGTGGACTGAAAGCCTTTCAAGGGAAGCGTCACATTGTTGCTTATTCCGTGCGGTGAGCACTCTGATCCTCCTTGTATGATATTAGAATGTGAGCTTTCAATAATTTATTTCGTTAGTTAGGCTGTGCTTGGCATTGTGATGAATTATAAAAATGTTGTTTGTCCAACAGTTTTTGCCCCTTTTATTGTTGGGTAACCACCCTTTTCCTGCCTTTATGGATACATTTTCCCACTGCAGATTATTAAATAGTGAATGTTTCTTTCTAAGTTGACTGAGAAACTCGTATTGCTAAGTCGATTGAGAAACTCATATTTCTAAGTCGCAACCACAACCCTTAATCCTTTATCCAATGGACACATTTTAGAAGTATGCAATGCCAGTTGCACACTTCTACACATGAAGTTCCACAAGAAGTTCTGTGCGACTCTAGGTCTCACGATGTGCAATTTGATCAGCTTATAAATGATATTTTACGGGTCACCTTACAAATGGCCAAACTGTATGAAGTTCAGTGTTGCACAGTTCAGCTGCTGCAAACTGAGCCTTAGTATTTTAGTGAAGTTTGCTGTATAAAGATTTGCTCTCTATTGAATCATGTCACTATAAAGGTGATTTGTATTTGTGCAGCTTTTCCATGCGCAGAAGTAGTAGAACAATTTAAATGGCTGGTGTTAGGGATAACAGTCCCTCTGTTACGAATCATAAATATCTAAATGTTGTAGTACACATGCACACGTATGTGATTACCGTACTTCTGAGTTCTGACCAACATACTGATATGGTGCTGTTAATATTGTTTTAGTGTCGACTGTTTCTCATCCAAATGCGTTGATATATAAGACTGAAAGTGTTTTGCTGTATGATGCATGTAAAAGCAGTTAAGATTTTCTGTGGTGGAATGTTGTCTAACCTATGAGAATATTTTCTATACCCATTTGACATTGTTCAGCTACATTTTAATACTACTTTATATGAATTCTTTGTCAGGCTTGTAACCAACTACAATGATATAACACATCACTTTCTGTACTGCATTTATGTGCATTTGGATCTTGCCAAGGCTAAGGTACTGTCATCCAAGCCTTTCTTTCTAGTAGGATTTTATTTTGTACAAACTTAACAGTATCTATGATTTCTGAAGATGCTTTCATTTCTTTGGATCTCTTATTGTTGGTAGAAATCTGCGACGCAGCCCCAAGTAACTGCTAATGCATCAACATGGAACCAAGCTCCACCCCCTAATAATCAGGTAATTTGAGGAAGTATATCATCATTTTACTAGAATCCACTGAATTGCTGTCGAACATTTTTTTCTCCTCCTTACTCAGGCCCCAACACTATCTGCATCTGGGAATGCTGGTGGGCAAGAGTTAACTGATATGGTCATGAATGTTTTTCATGACCCAGTGCTTGTGTAAGTTAACTGTGCTGCAGTGTCATGTTATGTTAGCGCTTGTGTGTTCCTTTCCATATAATTTGTACCACCTGTGTCCCCTCCGGCCCTCCCCTTCCAGGCCTCCATGGTCATGCTGATGGGAAATATATAAGCTTTTCTGCTGTATATATGCCTCAATATTGTTAGGTATTCTCTCATTTATAGAGTGGAGAACACTGACTGCATTGTGTTCCTGCAGAAACCTGGACCATGGAGTTAGTATCGCACAGGTTGCAAGCCGTCTTAACATATCAGATGCAGTTGCCAGGTATCATCACCCTTTACCCCGGCCCCTCTGAAATACTGTACATTTGACTTTCTAATAATCCTGATTTTTTTCACAGGTCGACTGTTGCACATCTTATTGATCTTGGCAACCTCTATCCAACTATCGATGACAACCATTACAAGTCTACACTGAATGGTTGATATGGCTATGTCCACGCATGTAAGCGTTAGGCTCCCCTGGAGCTATCGAAATAATATAAGCACTCTTGCAAGAGTTGTTTTTGCAGAGTGGCTTGCTGGTCCTCTAGACAGTCGCAAGGAGAGCAACTTAACGGCTAGGTTAAGTTGCATATCTAAGTACTTGCGCCTTATGTGTAATGGATATGAGTAGGTTAGATCTCTAGGTGCTTTGTGTTTGCTACTGCAGTACCTCCAGAACATCCATGCCTGTGTGACCTGCAATTAGTTTCGACTTGTTTGTGGTTATGACCTTGGTGTATGCACTCTGCCCTGCATATTGTTTCTGGATTCAGTTAATGTTTGCCCTAAAAATGCATATCATGCATCTGATTCCAAATGCTCGGTGCACCTCAAAAGAATGCAATATCAAAAAGGAGAGAAGGTTTTTGGCACCAGATTATTTTTGCCGTAGCAGATGATGTAAAACTGCTGCCAAAATACGACTGGGGGAGGCTGGAAGCTGATCTAAGGAGCTTGGCGGGGACGGTGGCGGGCAAGTTCAGTGATAGTGGCAGGAGCTTAGGGATGGCGAGGTATGGGTGGCCGTGTTGCGAGCTCGGTGGGGACGGGTGGCCGTGGCGAACAGCACCGAAGGGTGTGATGGTCCGGCCGGCGTCGACGGGACATGGCGGCTATTTTGCGAGCTCGACGGGGTCAGGGGGCAGCTGGTCACTGAGGGATGAGGTAATATATTTATGTTGGTAGACAAGTGGGATTTATATGGTATAGAAGCTTGTGTGTGTATGGATGGTTTGATGCTCACGTGAAATAATGAGTGCAGTTCTACGCACGACGAACTAATAAGTGCAGTTCCAACGCACGACTTCAGTTGACAAAAACAAAGAAGATAGCGCTAGCACCCGCATGATAGAGCGGCGGGGTTCATGGTGGCCGGCGGAGTGAAAAGAGTTCGAAATATGCAGCATTGGAGCTAAAATTTGGGGATCATAGGGCTGGAGCTGGTGTTTTGGGTAAAAATGCACTAAACCGTGGGCAAGGCCGCAGTTTTCATATCTGTTGGAGATGCTCTTACGATCCAGATCGAACAATGTTATGGAGGAACATATCACAACTCACAGCCGCCACAGTTACACAAGACAGACAAAATGTGAAATGCTGCTAGACCTAATACTATGTCGTTCTGCCTCTAAAGTTTTTCCTCTTCCTTTTTTACATTGTGAAGGAACAGCTACAACCGTTTCAGAAATTTGATTCGTAGGGATAATTCTCCCTTGCATGGACCCAAGTTCTGGCTTTTCTACAAAACAAGTGGCCTGGGAAGTGGCTGTAATTACATGCTGATGCTGATGCGTGGCCGTGGCTTGCCGTTGTCCCTTGTCCTCCGTAGAAGACCAGGACTGACCATGACTAGCCACCAAGGAATTTGTCCACTTTGACGTTGTCTCCTCTTGTCAAGAACTTCATGCAAATGGGAGGATTCACCTTGGCAAGGGCAAGAATGGACTGAGGCAGGGTCCAGATCCCATCCCCGCAAATCAGCCCTGAAGCGACAGCAGGTCCGTAGGCATCTGCTTTTGCCTTGTTCATCTTCTCCCAAACAAAGAGTATGAAGCTGCCCAGGAACATGTCGATCGCAAAGTATGATCCTATGTAGAAAGGTATGGCCATTGCCATAGGGAGCGGGATGAACCTCGAAAACTTGTGCGGCGTCAAGTCTCTTATCAGGTTGATGACAATAGCTGCAGCAAAGAAGATGTAGCAGAGAGTCAGGCAGTTCTCCGGAAGCGTGTTGAAGCCATCCACACCCAATATCGCCATGTTTCGGTACACAATGGCATAAGGCGCTGGGTATTCGCTGCCGCTTATGCCGATGTCGCTGAAGGCCTTGTAGAACAGCCAGAAGACACAGGGCGAAATGACACAGCCCATTGATGTGCCTATCACCTGGCTGATAAACATGGACTTTGGTGACGCCAAAGTCAAGTAACCAGTCTTGAAGTCTTGCATCAGGTCAGAGGCAGTTGACACGATGCTCATCATCACACCACACGCGGCAAGTCCTACAAGCACACCGCCATTGGCAAGGCCAGCCCATGCACCGAAGACGAAGATAGCAAGCTTGCCATAGGTGGAGGCAAGGGACCAATCAGTGAGCCCACTTCCGTAGGCATTGCAGAAGGCCAGCACAGGTGCTACCACATAGGCAACTAAAATGTAGTACCACTTGAGCTGCGGGAAGATCTGAGGAAGAGTGCCGATAGATATAGAAGCAACTACGGCATAGCCTCCATATGCAACTGCCATGGGGATTTGATCTTTCAGGAATAGTTCAGTGCGACGCTCATCATCAAAGGACATAGCTTCAGCGGTGGGGCTGCCATTGTCTGAAACAGGAAGCATGGCTTTTGAATTTTTATGAACCATTGATATGAAGCCAGCAATTGTGCGGATAAGCACCTTGACAAAGTTATACAATCCATCCCCAAGAATCAAAGCAATGGATATAAAGACCTGTAATGGTAAAGCAACCAGCAATCAAAAATCTTGGTCGCAAAACTGTTGGTTTTTTCAGACAACATTGCTGGATTTTAGCTTAGACAAAACTGAAGACAGTGGCAAGATCAGAGTGCTTACCCTGTAAGCCTGCAGCCCATGAAGACTAGATTCTGGGAGAGAAGCAGGGTACCAACTCCCCTTTTTCTTGCCAATGAGGGGCCACATTATACCCCACGAGATGATACCTCCTAGCATAACAGACACATTCACGATGTGTGGGCAGATCATGCCAACCCCAATATATGTAGGAGAGAAATCAAAGTAAAACCTGGAAGACAATAAGTTAGGTTCAGTATAGGAGACTGCCTTGGAACTACGGTAAGCAAATGTTCAGACACTAGACATTATCTTGCAGCAGGTACATAAGCATAAATATTTTCCACCATGATATAGAAGAAAAACATAGTGTAGCAAGATATAGACGTTTCTGTAGATATATTAGTTAAGTTGTTCCCAGATATTGGACAAATCATAATCAATGCTGTCAGCAGAACCAAGATAATGCCATCACTGACCTATTCTTGTAAGCTTCAAGGCCTAATGTTGGGAAGTTCTTGAAACCGCAGTCATCGCCACCACTGAAGAACCATTGGAAAAAGCCCCAGAAAAAGCTCACCATAAAGTACCTGCCCAGTATCTTCACTTGCTTCCTGAAATAAGATGGTCACTGCTGTCAGCAAAGTTTTTTGGCACTTGTATAAGCAGTAGAGAACAGAACTGTATCAACATACTTTGCAAGCTTGGCGCCCTCAGGTGTGTGAAAACCATTGATGAGATAAGCAGTTGCTGTGCCACTTGGATAGGTCAACTTGTAGTCGACAATCATGATCTGGAAGCGCAACTCAGCTGATGAGAACAAAGTTTGCTTGTATACAGTTATTTAGTAAGAACAAAGGGAGAAACATGTTGAAGGTCTTACTTTTCTCATGGGCACAAGTGCAAAAATCCCAATAAAGCTGACGAGGAAAAGAAAGCCTATCATCCATCCAAGGTGAGGTTCCTTGATGTTCCAAGGATCATTAGCCTCCGTTGCTTGCTTAGCTATTGTGTCACTCATTCCGAATAGATAACTGCCAAACCCACCTGAACCAATCGTAACAAATAAGCATATCAACATGTCAATTAGCCAAATTTATTTGTTCGTGCAAAATGACATACTAGCGAGTACAGTTTCACAAGGCAGGCAGATCGATCAGCAAAGGTAAAAAGGGTTATGTGCTGTGTGCTATCCACAAGTACAGAAATTAATCAAGCAGTTGATTTCATGCATCGAATGATGCCCTCATCCTATGATCACATATTTTTGCGAATCATCCCATGACCAATTCGAAACATAGATAATCAGTTAATCATTGCTCACCATCCTGGAAATTCCTGCTGGTGCAGTTGCAAGAGAAACAGGAACATATGCAAAAAAAATGTAAGGCTGCTGATAAGAATTTCCACATAGACCAACTTATAAACAAAGGACATTTGCTGTCAATTTTCAAATCAGCGACGTATGTGCACTGTTGCGGCGCTCTCTGTATGACATCAGTGACTATCACATGAAAGTATTCCCATATAAGCTTGAACGTACATGTAACATGGTTCCAAAATAAACCCACAGACCATACTAGTTGTTTATGTTCATGTGGACTCAATGCTTCACATGCATGCGTCATGTCTATCATAGATAAATAAATACTAGAAAACAATGAGCCGTGCATCTATCTATTTTAAGGTGAGAAGTGAAAGCAAGCACGCTCCACCATTTTCAGCTTGTCCTCAACACTAGCTGTAATTTGCCTCTCCATCCTTATCACCAGCGCCAAAACTTCAAAAGATGTTGTTGACCATTGCACCTAGTTCCTTCACTCATTCACCTATAATGAACCAACCAAAAATGGTCCCTAATTTCGTGATACTTCACAATTCAGTCAGGTGCACGCAAGGACCATCGTCTCCAACAGCTATTTCGGAAGATTAGGAGAACAAAAGGCACACTGCAGTCCACCTAACACACCTATCAAACCACAAGTCCGAATCCAAGAAGTTTCTTGTGTTGTGCTTTCCCTATCGTTGCTCTCATCATAAACCCACTTTGGAGGATTTGAATGCGACTGGTTCGTATTTTTCCTTTGGGGGCAAAAGAAACAACGGATTCCCTGATGCCCCAAGCCACCAACCCACTAGTGCAAAAACGTTATGCCCACCTCTAGCTCCTGAGCCCAGATCTGCATCGTGCTCCTCCTTATCCCCCATAGCCCAGATTACGACGAATCCCAAAGCTATCGACATACACGCACGAAGGAAATGGATTCGTCTACTGGTCAATTTATGTCAGATAAAACTTTTCATACGAAGGTAAGAGCACGAAATTGAGGCGTTGAAGCAAAGCCGACGCTGAAACTTGACATTCGCAAAACCCAATGTTCCTAGTAGCACGCTTCAATTGTACTAATTGTAACTGTAACCGAGCGTAGTGGAAGGTTGGGGGAGGTTACCGACCGCTGAAGGCGATGCCGTAGGCGGAGACGACGCATGTCTGGATGACGGTGTTCTCCTGGCGGGTGAAGGGGTGGCCGACGAGGCCCATCCGCTCGAAGGCGTTGGTCCAGAGGCGGACGAAGAAGAAGCCGAGCAGCCCCGCGGAGACGTTGAGCGAGGGGATGATCCCCGTGGTGAGGTTGAGCTTCATGACGATGACGCTGAACATGACGGCGAGCAGCGCGCTGACGACCAAGGCCCGGACCGTGAGCTGCTCCCTCCACGACGGCACCGCCTTGTCCGCAAACACCTGCTCCACCGAGGCGTCCTCGGGGCTGGCGCCGCCATTGGCGGCCTCCCCCGCGCCCTTGCCCGCGTGGCCGTGGCGGTGGCGGAGCGCGGTCCCCGCCGCCTCCGCCACCTCGTCGTCCCCGGTGGCGCCGTGGGCGGTGGTGCGCGTGGCCATTGGCTTGGC